TGGAGAAGTAGATAGGGCACATGGAGATTGTTGGACTTGAGCTGAAAAAGCAGTTGGAGGCCACTGAAGGATTTTAAGCTGGAAAGTGAAAAATTTGCATTTTAGACAGATTCTTTGGGCTGCAGTTATGAGTATGGAACAAGACAAGAATGACTAGGGAGAGAGCAGTTAGTAGACCATTATAGTCATGTGGACGGGAGATAATAGTTTGCACTAGCTTGATGCTGATGGTAGAAATGGAGAAAAGTGGACAGGTTAAAAAAATATTTAGAGGTAAAAGTGCCAGAATTTAGTGGTGGATTGGATGGAGCGGGAAGCATGCGAATGAAGGAAACTGTCACGGATAACCAGGCCTCTAGTCTGCTGGGTGGATAGTGCTACCATTCGCTGAAATAAGAAACTGGAGTAAGACCTTAGATATTAAGAATTGAAGTTTTGGAATACTGAGTTTTAGATGCTTTTGTCATAGCTACAAGGAAATGTTAAGCTGACAATTGACTATATAAGACCTTAGAAGAGGACTGGGCTCAATATATTGCTTTTTGAGCTCAGCCTTCCTCAATCTTCTTACCCCTTGTTATGGTCTGAATGTTTCTGTCTCCCCAAAATTCGTATGCTGAAATCTGAATGCCCCAAAGTGGTGTTATTAGGAGGTGGGGCCTTTGGGAGGTACTTAGATCATGAGGGTGGAAAATGGTTATTGGATGGCTTTGATCATCTTTCTTGTTTAGTGGTCTCTCCTCGTGCCCTTTCTAACTACGTGTTGAGTTTCTGTTGAATTAGGGTTAGCTTCAGTTCCAGCAGCACAACTTTATCTTAATAAAAAAAATATTATGGAGTCATTCATTCATCAAACATTCATTGAGTTCCTGCTATGTGCTAGGCTCTGTGCTAGGCAGTGAGTACAATACTGGCAGGCAGTAAAGCACAGCTTCTAACCCCAAGGAGCTCATGGTCCAAATCAGCACTGTTTTAGATTTTTGAAGATTGGGAAGTGTAAAATACAAGGACTGCCTCCACCAATTGTTATACTTGCATAGTTCTTAAGTGAATGCTCTTTCCCCTTTTCTGAAGAACTCTTATTTATCCTTCAAAATATACTTCATCTGTCACTGAAGACATCCTTGATCCCTTCCTGCACAGTTAACCACTTCCTCCTTTGAATCATACTTTTTATAGTATTTATTATGTACACTGAAATTTTTTTCTCTCTTTCTTATTAGACCATTTCTTGGTGTCAGGAACTTTCTCATATGCAGTCTCTTGCACATGGAGGTACTCCCTTCATCCTACATATATAAAACATTATCTATCCTCCAAAGTTTGCCAAAATATCACCTCCATTAAATTGTCCCTGATCTTCCAGATAGAAAAAATTTCCTCCTCTTCTGATCTTTCATAACATTCTAAATCAGTGCTTCTCAAGCTTTAAGGTGCATATGAATCATAGTGGAATTTTGCTAAAATGCAAATTATGCTCAAGGCAGATTCTGCACTACTATGCACCCAGCTAATGCCAATGCTGCTGATCTATGGACATAAACCAGGCCAAGAATTACTTATTTGTCTGACACAAAATAAAGCCAAAGGATTGCCCTAAAGACTTCTATACTACACTTTACATATATATAATGTGTATCACACCATAGACTTGAATCTCAGTCTAGATCTCACTATTCATTTATTTATTCATTTATTGGCTTATTCACACATTGCTCATATTCTTTTAACTTGTACTTATGGACCTTGCTTTTATACACATTATCTTAAATAATTCTCGCAATATTATTGTAAGTGTGCTTTTCATTTTATAGTTGACAAAATGGAAGCTTATAGAAGCTATACAACTTGCCCAATATCACATAGCTACCATAAGTGGAAGGACTTTAACTGAAGACTTCTGGCTCTAAATCCAGTAATTTTTTAGTTATACCATCCAAAATGTGCTAAGTTTTGTAGTCCCTAGTATCAATGTCACATAAGATAAAAGAAAGCAGAAACCATTTACTCCAACAAACAATTATTTTGTGATGTTTATATACTGGGTTCTGTGGTTGGTGCTGGGATATAGACAGGATTAAGGAAGTTTCTGGGGGCCATCCCCGTGGCTTAGCGGTTAAGCGCGCACGCTCCGCTACTGGTGGCCTGGGTTCGGATCCTGGGCGCGCACCGATGCACCGCTTCTCCGGCCATGCTGAGGCTGCGTCCCACGTACAGCAACTAGAAGGATGTGCAACTATGACATACAACTATCTACTGGGGCTTTGGGGAAAAAAAAGGAGGAGGATTGGCAATAGATGTTAGCTCAGAGCCGGTCTTCCTCCGCAAAAAGAGGAGGATTAGCATGGATGTTAGCTCAGGGCTCAGGGCTGATCTTCCTCACAAAAAAAAAAAAGGAAGTTTCTGTTTCTGAGGCACAGTTAAGCAAGGTTTCACTAAGGAAGGAACATCTGAATTCAATCTTAAGTCTCAACTTGGGGTAAGGAGGAGAAAGGCTTTCTAAGCATGAGGACCAGGATATGCATAGATATGTGGAGATAAAACATCAAGGCACATTTTAGAATAAAGGATATGTGTGGCCCAATAGTAAGGATAGGTATCATTAAGAAAGAGAGACCTGAATAGAATCTAGAAGGAAGGTATACACTGAAAACATCTATAAGCCAAAAACATTCATGGTTAGAGAAACAACATAAAACAGGAGAAGTAAGAATTTATAATGACATGCTTAGGAACCAGAGAAAAGACGTGGAGTTGCAGAGCCAAATGTTCATGTTGGAGAACAATAAAAAATAAGCGTGGAGCCAAATAATACTGAAAGCCAAGGAGCATCATTGCTAACATGTATTGAGCACTTAACTCTGCCAGATATAGTACTAAGTACTTTGCATTTGCAAAATATTTGAGCAGTTTGGTATTATGATTCTGATTCTGTATAGAGGAAAACTCAAGTTAAGAGAGGCTAAGTAACTTGCCCAATATCACATAACCGTAACTGGTACAGCCAGGATCCAAACCTAGGACTCTTTTTGTTGTTGTTGTTGAGGAAGACTCACCCCAAGCTAACATGCGTTGCCAATCTTTCTCTTTTTGCTTGAAGAAGACTCTCCCTGAGCTAACATCCATGCCAATCTTCTATTTTGTATGCAGGTCACTGCCACAGCATGGCTGATGACTGGTGTAGGTCCGTGCCTGGGATCTGAACCAGTGAATGCCAGCTGCTAAAGCACAGTGTGCTGAACTTAACCACTACCCCACGGGGCCAGCCCCAAACCCAGGACTCTTAACACTACACTTCAGGTATGCTAGTCAATTTATAAAAATATAAGAAAGAGCCATCATGGTTTAGTGGAAAGAAACTTGAGGAGGCAGAACACTAGCTCTTAATTCCAGGTCCTTCACGTGTAGGTTACCGAACTTATGTTTAAGTATCAGTTTCATTATTAAATACTAAAGGAATAATAAAGCTCAGCAAGATTCTTATAAAGACCAAACAAGTCGTTTGCTTAAAATACTCCGTAAATTCCAACTATACAATGTTATACACATGAGGGTATTATTATACATAAATCTACTCTTGTGTATATATCCTTGGATATACAGGGAGTCTATATAGCCTTAGAGGCTATAGGGAGTAAGTCTGGATAAATCTTATGGATTTTACTTATTCCACGTTTCTTGGTTTAGCATATGGAGTCAATGGGTTACGTGTTATATCATTCTCTCAGATTTCTTAGGTGTATTTAAGAAAGGTAATTTCTGGGGGAAGGGAGGATATGAAAAATATATACATAGATAACATGAGTTTTGAACCAACATCAGGTTCTGATATTCAATGCTAAGTTTTTTTTTAAGTCTGCAAAATTAAAGTTGATATTCCTCCCTAAGCACCATGCTACCAAACGTAGATGAAACAGACTGAAATAGTCTGGGTTGCTCCATTTCATCAAATATTCATATTAAGCTTAAAAGAAATGTATCAGCTATGTTCTCTATGATAGATAAAAATCTCATTTTACATTTTAAATTATAACCAAAACTACAATACTATTTTTTTAAACAATGCTATTTTAAACTACTATTTTTTCAACACTCAAAAAGGAAAACAAAACAAAAAAAGAGAAAACAAACTATACTAACTGATGCACTATGAAACCAGACTTGAAAAAACGCAAGGTTATTCTTTAGACTGAAACTTCTGTAACTAAATATAATTTATTTTTTCATATCGGGCAGTGAGTCTGGTCACTGGAAAATAACTGGTGTACAAAGTCTTATAAAAGTAAAATTTGAAAATGACTAACAGAGAGAGATTCCGGTTACAAAGAGTCTGGTAAGGAACAGAGAAAAGGAGGAAAACAAATTTTTCCGTGCTGTAGAAAAGTCTCTCCAGCACAACTGCTTCCTCAAAACAGTACAAGGAAAATGGCAGAAGCTATTGGGAACACCGGCCGGATTACAAAAAGTTTCAAATACAACCCGGGTCCGTTTCTCTGAATGTTGAGGTCAAACTATAAAACAGGAGAAAAACTGGGACGTAGGCAAGATATCAGACTCCATAAAAAACCCGAACTCCTCGAGAGGAGTTTGTATTTGCAGCGCCAAATCGAATCTCAGCAAAAAGGTATCCTATTGATAAACAGCAGAGGAACACAGCGTCCTTTCTCGTTCTCGTCCTCTGACACCCACCCAGGCCAACTAACCATCCCTTTTCCGCGAAACGGCAAGTCATTTCAGCAATAAAACCTTAGGGTGCCGTGGGTCCATTTGGGTGGGCAAGTCACCCAGAACAAGCTGCCACCAGAAGGTGTGGGGAGAGCCAGCAGCTGACCGAGCTTGGAAAGCGCCCCACACCCCTCCCAGAAGGCCCGGCGGGCGCAGAGTGCTCGAGTCACCGGGCCGTCCCCACCCGGCCACAACCGGCCCGGCACCAGAAAGACTTCGCCGAGTCGGGCCCGGCGTCCTCGGGGGTGGCGGGCCCTCCGAGGACTCAGTCTCACCTTCCGCGTCTGCTGAGGAAACAAAGGTGAAGTCCCCGTTGGTGGGGGAATACGCCGGGGGCGGGCCCGGCGGCTGCATCTCGCGGGCCCTGCGAGCCGGCGGCGGGGGAGGAGGCTGCGGCTGGGCCCAGGCCCCAAGGCGGCCGCGGCGCCGACCCGCACGCGCGCCCTACGGTGCGGCGGGCGAGCCGGGAGGTGCAGGCTGGGAGCGAGGCCGGAGACGAGCGCAGGGATCCCCGCAACTGCCCCCGAGGGCGCCCCACCAAAGTCCGCTCGGTGGCGACCGCCCAAGCACCACGACGCCGGCGCCCTGACAGGACCATAATAGTGACAGCGCCGCTTGGATTGGCCCTTTGTAATGTGCTCTCCCATTGGCTCCCGGAGAAACGTCCTGATTGGATCTCCCCGTTGTTGATTCCGGAAGTTTACCCAGGACAGGAACTTCGCTTCCAATTCGTGGACCGCTCTGGTGTCTGCCTGCTTCTTGGTTGTTTTGTTTCCATTAAGTCTCATCTCTTCTGGCTTTTCTTTACTTATTTCCTGCCATTTTGGTAACTGGGTGGATGAGAGCATTTTAGAACTAGGAACGTTTCTGGAGGTCGGCTCCGGTCTAGGATCCCAAGATTCCGTTGCCTTTAGTCAGTAATTAATTGTATAGGATGTTGACTAAATAATCTTGTGTATCATCTCTGAGCCTCAGTTTTCTCATCTGCGAAATGAAGGGGGCTGGATTGGATAATAATAAAAAAGCAGATAAGCTGTAAATTACCACCCAGAGACTGGGGCTGTAGTCTAGCCACATTCCTTTAATGAGGGAGGCAATTGAGGCCAGAAAGGGTAAAAAGGAAACAGGATTAGGACAGTACCTAAATCTCCTGACTTCTATCTAGTCCAGTGCTGATATCACTACAAGATCTTGTCGGTTGATAAACTTACCAAAGTTTACAAACCCTCCTAGGTTTTTAAATGTTTACATAAATATACTTAAATTTAATATCCAAGCTACATAAATGTGGCTTCCAATTTGGAGAGAGAGAGTTTGAGAGTATATTATGAGACAGACTTGGAGAGATGCATGATGGATCAGCAGTACACCAATAGGAACTCATGACCATTAATATGTAAAAAGAAATATCGAAAATTTTCTCACAGGAGGTAACAAGTTGGTACTTAAAGGATGAGTAAAAATTTTGGGGCAAAGAAGTGTGGAGGGCTGGCAGCCTGGGTCATAACATTCCAGAGGTCATTCAATGGACTTGGGAAACTGAAAGTCATTTAGTTCACTTGGAGCTTAGGTTTCATGGGAGAGAATGGCTACAGATGGGATTGCATGAATAAGGAAAGGAGATCATGAACAATCTTGCATGCTATCCTAAGGATTAAAAAAAATTTTTTTCTGAAAATGTAGGGGGAACCATGAAAAGAATTAGAGCAAAGGAGTGACAAATCAAATACTCCTGTTAGAATTATTTCTTATTTGGATACTTAGTGGATATTTTGGCTTGGAGAGCAGAGACTTGTATGAGACTTTTACAGAAATATAAGTGAGTCTTGGACTAGGGTTGCAGCATTGGGGATGGGAAAGAGGAAACAGATATGAGATATATTAAGTTTAAGAATCCACAGGACTTACTGATCAATAGGAAGATACTGGGAGTGAAGAATAGGAAAGAGACTAGGGTGACTTCATGTTTGTTGCTTAAGTGGTTGGCAGTGTTATTCATCAAGTGAGTAAACAGAAGAGGAGCTGGTTTGGTGAGAGGGGAAGGTTTTAAGAACATGCAGCTTGAGCTGTCTAGGTATTCTTTGGGTAATAAGGACCCAGTGCACAGAGTAGAGGTCTGAACTGGAGGTATAACATTGTAGTCATCAGTACATGGTTGGTAATTGCATCTAGGAGTATGGGTGAGATTGCCCAGGAAGAGTGTGCTGAGTGAGAGAAGAGTGCCAAGAATGATACTCTCAGGAACACCGTCATTTAAGGGTCAATCTATGGAGGACTGGCCTGCAAAAGAGATGGGATGAGTTGCAATTTAAAAATAGGATGGTCTAGGGGCCGGCCTGGTGGCGCAAGCCCTTAAGTGCGCGCACTCCGCTGTGGCAGCCCGGGGTTCGTGGGTTCAGATCCCGGGCGTGCACCAACGCACTGCTTGGCAAGCCATGCTGTGGCGGCGTCCCATATAAAGTGGAGGAAGATGGGCATGGATGTTAGCCCAGGGCCAGTCTTCCTCAGCAAAAAAAGAGGAGGATTGACAGATGTTAGCACAGGGCTGATCTCCTCACACAAAATAAATAAAAATAGGATGATCAGGATAGGCAAAATTGAGGAGGTGACATTTGAGCAAAGACTCGAAGGATATGATCATTTATACTGGGTCAACTCAGTTAAGCTGGAACTATGATTCCTAGAATTCCTTTACCTGTATGCCTTCAGGTTAGAATTTCTCAAAAGAAGAGCCTGCACAAGATTTGTGAGGTGGAAGTGAAGCAGTTGCTATTATACTCTGAGCATCTTTTTAGTCAGATATAGTGATGGACACATGGTATGGATTCTTCGCTTATCCTAACACTCCTATGGTCTGCATTCAACTCTTCTTCCCAACTACAAATTGTGTTGAACAACAGATGCCACTAGACAGCTGTGGCCCCACAGAGGTGGTAGCTATGCAGATCAACTGATTTTCCTTGTCAGGCTCATCTCAGCAGTTGGATGTGCTTTGAAGGGGAGGAAAACTATCCTCTCCCCACTCTGGGTCCTTTCTGGTTGGGCTACAAATTAGATTGATGTGAGACTAAATAGCAGGAGAAAATCAACAAAGCTTTGTAACATGTATACATGGGAGAGACTAGGGAAACTCAGTTTCTTGACAAGACGGTGGAGGTTCCCACCTTAAATACTACCTTCAGCTAAAGACCAAGGAGGATTTTGGGGGTGGGCGGGAATCAGCTATAGGAGATTACAAGAAAGGCACAGTGAACAAGAGTATGCAGATTTAAGTCCTTGCTTTCTGCACTAAGAGTTTCTAGAGATACGGTCATCCCCCCTTCTTCCTGGCACAGAGAGGGAGATACCTTTACAAATGGGGATTTCCCTTATAAATGTAAATGTCTCTTACAAAGGATAACTTGTACTTTTACTTGGAACGGGCTTAGCAAGGACCCTCCCAGTCTATCCATACCCAGAGTTAAGTTCTTTTAAGCAGTTAGTGGTGTGGGGGGGAGGTCAAAGTTTCTTTCAGAGAAAATAATAAAGGTAAAGAGACATATTTTGAGGTGGCCAATTTTGATCTCCCACAGCTTAGCTTCTCAAATTGGTTGGTGACTACTTCTCTGGTCCTTCAACTCTGTCTTCCAGACCAGCACTTCCCCAGCCATTATTTCTTCAAATAATTTCTGTATCCCTTTCCCTCTCTCTTGTTTTTCTGGGATTTCCACAGTATATATATTGGTCCCCTTGATGGTATCCCACAGGTCCCTTAGGCTCTGGTCACCTTTCTTCATTCTTTTTTCCTTTCTGCTCCTCAGACTCAATAATTTCAATTGTCTTGTCTTCAAGTTCTCTGATTCTTTCTTCTGCCTGCTTAAATCTGCTGTTGAACCCTTCTAGTGAGTTTTTTTTTTAATAATTTTATTTATTTATTTTTTCCCCCAAAGCCCCAGTAGATAGTTGTATGTCATAGCTGCACATCCTTCTAGTTGCTGTATGTGGGACGCGGCCTCAGCATGGCTGGAGAAGCGGTGCGTTGGTGCACGCCCAGGATCCGAACCTGGGCCACCAGCAGCGGAGCGCATGCACTTAACCGCTAAGCCACGGGGCCGGCCCTGAATTTTTAAATTCAGTAATTATGTTTTTCAGCTCCAGAATTTTTGTGTGGGTCCTTTTTATAGTTTCTGTCTCTGTTGATATTCTCAGTTTGTTCATGTGTTGTTTTTATGATTTCCTTTCTTTGTGTTTTCCTTTAGCTCTTTGAACATATTTAAGACAGATGTTTTAAAGTCTTTGTCTAGTAAGTTCAATTTCTGTGCTTCTTCAGGGACTGCCAGCTTTTGTTGTTCTTTTAAATGGGCCATATTTCCTTTTCGTTGTATGCCTTATGATTTCTAGATAAAAATTAGGCATTTGAAAAAACACCCACCTCTCCCAGTCTATGAAGATTCACTCTGTGTCAGGGCAGTCCTTCACTTATTAGCTGGGTGTGCTCTGAGCCTAGGGATCAGCCCAAGGTGAAAGCTTAAGGTCTTTTCAGGTCATTTTTGAGCATGTGTCTTGTCTGGGCCTGCATGTGGCTTCTCCATTCTGCCTTATACATGGCTGCTTCTGAATGTCTTAATTTCCCATAAAGTCTCAGCTCAGCTTCTCTTTTGGGCCTTAGATGGTCTATTGTATATCTCCACCTCTGCTCTCTTGCTCCCAGTGTCTGCAGGTCTGCAGTCCCCCTGCAGGTTTCCCATGACCAGTGACTGCAGCTTTTCCCAGAGACTCAAATTAGGCCAGGCAGAGACCAGTCCTTCAGGTAGCCCCCAGACAGTTTAGAATGTTGCATGTGAGGTCTGCTCTGCTCCTTATAGTTCAAGGGAGGGAACTGGGAACTAGGCTGCCACCTTTTCCAGACCAAGCTGGCACCATGCCCAGGGAGGGGCTGGGGCAAAGGCAAGTGAAAATGCCACAAAATTTCCCACCATTTTGAAGGTGGCTTTTTCTTGATTGGGCGTTCACTTGGTTGCTGTAGACCTTTGACTTTCCCAGAGCTCCCATAAGGTTAGTTTGATCAGTTTCTGGTGGTTTTTTGCTGTTTCCTTGGAACAACAAGGGCTTGGAGCTTCCTAGTCTGCCATTTCGCTAACATGATTTTATTGTTAAACCTGGCTTCTTAGGAATTGCCACTGGGTCATAGTAGCTTATTGTTTAGTAAGGTTTTGGTCATAGCTTGTATTTAAGCCATTTATGCTAGGGAGGCTTCCATCCTGTGTAGATGGGTTTGTATATGGGTTGGGGACTGCTTTTGAGTCTGTTCCTTGTTCAGCTCTGATTGCACCTAAGTAGGTACAGACTAACATGTGTACATAGCTTTCCAGATCCCAGAAGGGCTCTTCTTGAATATCTCTTTCCCTAGTTTTTTCATTAAACTTCTGGCTCCTCTGCCTTGCTTATATCTTGATGGGAGTAGCCTCTTCTTATTGCTCTCCATCAAGATCTCTGTTGTTTCAACAATGGTCTTAGGCATTATTCTGAATAAAGTCAGTTCTTTCCCTGCAGAATTATAGAGCTCTTTGTCTTTATGGTCTGCCTTTCTGCCTAGGCAGAGTGTCTATGGGACTGCACCAGACCTGCAGGCAGAGAC